CTACATATTTTGGTTTCAAGGCAATTGGAAAGGATTTTTTTAATTGGTTCCCCAGGTTTTTCTTTGGACACTGTCCTTGTGTCTGACCATTTTCAGAGGATATTTGTTGTTGTTTGTTTATTTGCTACTTAACACTGACCTGTGAGTCATTCAAGCATAAAAATGGCACCTAACTCAAGGGATGAACTGTGTTGTGTCTACACATAACAGAAAGTGCCAATTTTAAATGGGATCTTTAGGCACTTTGTTACTAGCAGCCTGTCACAAAAACACATCATTTGTTCCCATTATCTGAAAGTCATGTCCTTAAGCAAAAGGAAAAATCCACTAAAAACCTGACAGAGAACCTAAGAGATGCATGTGGCCCTTCAGCTGATCCATCTACTGTTCGCCAAAGGCTCACCAGAAATATTGTCAGTGGAAAGGTGACTGTCAAGAAGCCATTTTTAAAGGAAGGGAAATGGGGAGAAAAGGTTGATGTATGCCACATTATACAAGAACTGGACTAAAAATCAGTGGCAACAGGTCTGATGGAGTTATGAAACCAGTTATAGTTTCTGGTTGCGAGGCCACTTCCAGTGGAGACACTGCTTCAGATAGTTCATGCTTGAAGAAAAAGGTGGTCATAGCACATATGAACTTTCATACTCTTGAGAACTCCTTATTTTCCTTACATACTGTATTTTTTTATGTTTGTGCATTTTGGTGAATTGCTACACTTATTTCTTATTTTCATAGTGAGATATAAACCCAATGCCTCTAAAGAAAACCCAAACACAATATATGTAACTGTCACGGCTGGGGCAGCAGTCGTGTGGTGTTTGGAAAAGGAGGACCCAAGTTGCAGACAAGGCTGTGATGCGAGTGATCTTTATTGACAATGGATGACAGTACACAAAACGATGGTGAGAATCACAAAATAAACTAAACTGGGAAAGCTAGAGAGCAGAGCTGAAAACATACACAAAGGGGAGACACGAGGCGAGGAGCAGAGCGACGCAGACAAAACCATGGAATGCAGACGACCCAATGAGGAGCAGAGGTAGACGCACACTATAAATACACACACACAAGGTAATCAGGAAGTGACACTTGGGAGGAAAAAACAGCTGAAACTAATGAGCAAAATGAAACACAGACCTTCAACGTAAAACAGGAAATTCACAGACTGTTTTACAAACACAAACTCAGAGACACCAACAGAGCACAGAGGGGAGAACACAGGCAGGAATAATAAAACACTTAACACAAGAACTAAACCCAAAGAACTAATTCAAAATCAGAATAAACTAGAAAATAATAACAATAACCTCAAAACAAGGTTCAGCGACCCAGGACCATGACAGTAACAGACCAAACCTTACATTTGCATCCAAGACCTTCTTTCTACAGGCAAAGCTTCTATTCCTATTTTATAAATGTAGAATAGTTAATGTCAGGGGTCGTTCATGCAGGGCTTGGAATATTCTGCATTACATTTGCACTTTTATCAACCTGTTAAAGAGTAGGTAGACATTTTACTTTACTAAATCAGCCATGGGGCAGAAACAATTAAAATCATATATTTTCTCATGCTATAGTGTCTACCAAAGAATGGACACGGCATAATAACATATTAGATTCATTTTCTTTTTTATAACAATTTTAAGAAAAAATAGAAATTAAAGAAAGTATTAATCTTGTTGTAGTTGCAAAAGAAAGTCTGAATTTAGGAGGCCAAAGGTCTGTTAAATACTTAAAATCCAAATCTGCTGTCCAGCCAGGCCTCACTGGGAAACGATTGTTACTCTTCATTTTCACACCTTCCCAGTTTCCACTTAGAAAGTTTGACACAAATTGCACCGTAACAAAATCCCAGAGCCGACAACTCACCTCTGGATGGCTGTTAGGTAGGTCGGGACTTTTCTTTATCTGCTGCAGTTGCCTTCATTGCATCAGTCTGTCAGGCGACTTTGGGGAATTACAGCCATGGAGCCCTTTTGACACATGTCCGTTAGGAGCACAGCAATATGGGTCAAATTATGGAGCAGAAAATGAGTTGTTGTTATCCTGAAATGGAACCCGAAGAGGCCACTGTGGGTTGAAGTCCATCCTGCAATTGAATGCCATGTTACCTCAGACCATCAAGTGATTTTGACAAAATGTTTAAGGGAAGCTTCAGGCGTTTCTTTATTGCCCAGTTTATTGAGGCTGCATTAATAAAATACACAATATCTCTCAAACTAAGACACCATACATTTCATTAGCTTACTCTTTTTTTGGCTACTCAGTTACTCAGAGTTTTAATTCAACACCCCATTTGCTCTCAGCAGGAGAGCTTCAAGTCTGCCTGTATAAGAGGTTGTATGCTTATGCTTAAGTATACTTGTAAAACTGCATTAACACTTGTTAATACATGGTAAGTTAAGAATCAGTTAGTAGTCATTTTAGTCTTAAATTATTAATTTAATTTATTTGCAAGTAAGTTTTCAATTTATAGTTGATTTAACTAGTTTCTATATGGTTAAGTATTAGTGCTATGCCTTGCAAGAGGTAGAAAGTCAATTTTTTATCCCATGTTAAACTTAAGATAATGTATTTGTTAGTGATTATCAAATATTATTGTTGGTTTCAGATGAAGGTTTCACTACTAATAAATGAGGCTGTAGCAGAAGTGTCCACTAATATATGATGCTTATCGATTATGATCTTTTCCTGAACATAACTAAAGACTCATAATCTTTCCATTTAGACCAATATAATCCAACCTGCCTGATTATAAACTATAAACATAAGATACAAGTTTATAAGAGCCAGATAGCGCAAAATTCTACAAATAGATCAACTACACAGTATTTATTAATCATTTACAGTGATTTGTAAACAATCTGGTGAAACGTTATAACATCGACAAATCGGTTATTAACCATTTAGTAAACATCATTACTTCATTATTTATTAATATAATGAACAGAATTAACCAGGCCAATATGGGACTTTTAAGACTGATACCGATATTTGTTGATTACAAAATCTGAGACATTATATGAAACATTTGTTATGTGTAGTTCTTTATGACTCCTTACTAGGATATTATGACTGTGCAGTTAAAGAATAAATTATTTCTTGTTCACACTCTGCCCAGCTCTGCTCAGATCAACTGTTTTTTGTGTTTGTGGCAGTGCAAACATGCATGATGCCAACATAGAAGTTGCACAGGGCCCTCTGGTAGACAAACTGTGTAACACTGGTCCTCAACTGCTAGACAAACTGCTGAAGTAGTTTCCTAACCTACTTAAAATTGTATTTTTCCCCCTTGATTTTGTGCTGTAAGTGTACTGTTGTACATACAACATGGCAAAATTGCAGCCTTCTTGGCAAAAAATAAGATGTTCAATATTTTACATTTTGTGATTCAACCAAACTCTTACTGAGAAGATTTATCTTTAAAGCTGACAGTTTGTCCACTTTTTAATGTCTGAGTACATAGTAGTGATCATATTGTTTGGCTTCTGTTTAAGCTGGGCAGGTAATGTACAAGAAGCTATATCTGAGTTATTCTATCAGAGGGGAAAAGCGTAAGAAGACACAAAAATGCTTTTTCAAGTCCATTTTCTTAACTGCTTATCCAGTTCTGGATAGGTCCCCAGCTGTCAGTGTGAGAAAGGTGGAGTACACGCTGGACAGGGTGTCACATAACCACATAACACCGAGAGATAGAAAACCATTCATGCTCACATTCACAGGCACATCCAATTGAGATTCCCCAATTAACCTGACATCCATATATTTGGTCTGTGGGGGGAAAAGGGAGCATGGGAACGTGCCATGCTGAAAGTCCTCAGCAGATTCTAACCCACTGTGAGGTGACAGTTCGAACCAGAGCACCACTGTCTGCCAACTGCTGTGCAGCGTGGCATCGAGATTTTGACTGGCTGAGAATGCGTTTGTCCTTAGCAGCAATACCTGTTATATTTATTGTTGCTTGAAGTGTAAATTATGCAAATGCACAGTGGTATTGTTTGAGCCATCCATCCATTCAGTTAAGGATTGGAGGAGATACTGAAGCCTATTCCAGCTTTCATGGGGTGAGAGGCGGGCACACCCCGGACATTCAGCAGCCTATTGCAGGGCTAATTAAGAATAAGTGATTAGTCAATCCATCTATTTCATTCCACTTAACTGGGGTGACAACTAATGTGTGTGTGTGTGTGTTTGTGTGGGGGGGGGGGGGGGGTCAACTGCCATAGGCAAGACTCAGGCTGCACCCTGATTGGGTCTCCAAGCCAAGCCAGCTTTGTTTATAAAGTGCTAAAACAGCAAGTGCTGACCAAACTGCTCAACATTAAGGACAGAATAAGAATACAAAAAATAAATAAGTATAAACATAAAATACAAAAATAAACAAATAATTATAAGAAGAAGAGGAAAAATACTAACAATATATAAATATAATAATTATTATTAAGTAGTAGTAGTACTACTGCTAATAATAATAATAATGATAATAATAATAATAATAATAATAATAATAAATAATATATATGTGTATATATATATATATATGTAAAAACACAGAAAAACTACATTAAAAGTGGATAAAAGTACACCTGTCTATTGCGGGGCTAATTAAGAATAAATGATAAGATTTAGGACATTAATATGAAATGGCCTTGCAGAGAAAGCTCTGAGTTTTGCGCATAAATCCTCTTCATTTGCCCGCTCTCTGACAAAGGATTATAAAGGGTGGATTGTAGGTGAGGTGAGGTCAGCTATTAGACAAGGGGGGTCCTCAGAATTACTAGATAAACTTGTGCTTGTAGGCATCAAATATGTCTTATTATTAACTGTTTTTTTTAAAGAAGCCAATAAAGTCAGACAAAAACATAACACGTCTATCGTAGCTGTGCTTCTCCACCAGCAGTGAGGTTGGAGAGAATAATGCTGGAGTGTGAAGGTAGTGGTGGTGGTGGTGGGGGCTCAGCTCAGAGCAACACGGTGAACGAGCAGGGAGGCGGGAGCGCGCGCATAGGAAGGAAGAGAAGGAAAGGAGCTGAGGCAAATCAGTCGCCAAGCGGAGCCCAAGACAGCGGATGAACGGAGCCGAGCGTGTGTGCTTGTCGCTCTTGTCGTTTTTTTACAGCAGCTCAAAGCGGCGTCCGGCAGCCCCGAAACCCGCCCGAAAATGATCTTCAAACTCGTCCATCTCCTCGGGGTGCTCGTCTGCGGCGGCCAAGGTAAAGGGATGCGCGCGGGAGTGTGTGGCAACCCTCGAGCTTTAGTGACTTTGTGGACAAGTTGAGTGTTATTTTGCCATCTCGGTCTGCAGCAGCCAGAGAGAGGGCTGCGAGCTGAAGGGGAGAGAGGGAGTGTGAATGTAAGTGTGTGTATGTGTGTGTGTGTGAGAGAGAGAGGGGTGGATTGTTTAAGTGGACGTTGTTTTGTAGTTGAAGCACGTCTTGCAGGGGGGCCAGGATGCTTTCCTGCTGAAAAGAGGGCTCATGACGGGGTCCTGTGGGGTGTTTAGGGTGTTGCAGTGCACTCCATACTTCCCCACGATATCATCTCTTGCTACAATTAGTTTTTTAAAAACAAAAAACAAAAACATGTTTCACATCGTTGCTGTATTTTCTTATTTGCAAACAGCTCTCCTTTCTTTCCGCTTTAATCACTGATTCCTCCCAACTTAAACCGGCAGCGCACGTGAAGACGTCAATATCCACATTCTGGACTCATATCTGTCAAAGACCACCGCCTTTTTTCGCGCGCGCGCGTGTGTGTATTAGTGTGTGTGTGTGTGTGTGTTTTCACTCTTCCCTGTCCACTCTGTCTTGTGAGGAGCACTGTAGAGAAAACACTGTCATGGACTGAGGTTTTTGTCAACACCTTCATCAGCGTCTGCACCTCGCGCGCAGGCAGTGCGAGATAATGTGAGATTAATGCCGCGGTGATGCTTCCCAAAGTTTCTTCTTTTGTGTGTGTGTGGAAAAAAAATTCTTATTAGTCTTATTTGAGACAGCAGAGTTACACTTACTCTGTTAATTGGGTTCGCGCACCTGATTCGAAGGAGAGGGGAGGGGGTAAGGGGGTGACGGTGTGATCCGAGTGAGCGCGCTTCAGCGAGCCTGTGGGCAACATAAAGATGTAACCTGAGTGGCTGCTGCGTGCACGCGGATGCATTTCTTTGCCTTGAAAAATATTATTGTGTGTTTCTTAATCGTGTCGCTCGCTGAGAGTCTTCGAAGCTTTACAATCACTGGAAAATACCGAAAATCCACCGTCTGGATAAGTAAAAATAAAAAGACAGGGCAGCACAAGGTGATCATTTTCCTTGGTGTGAATTGTGCACTTGTTCATATTAAACCAAAGAACTAAAATATCTAGGGGAAAATGAGTTTTAGGAGGACATTCGTCTTTTTTTTTGAGTGTGGCCACACTGGCTTCCTGACGCACAACGGCAGGTGGGGGTAGAGCGCTGCAAAGTGGTGCCAAGAGGGAAGCCATAAGCCATGAGTCGTTAAAGTATGTTGCATTCAGATACTGCTTTTGCAAGTTTTTGCTTTGAAGTCTTTCAGGAGGGGGAGTGGATCTCAAAGTGTGTGTGTGTGTGTGTGTGTGTGTGTGTGTGGGGGGTCCTGGAGGAGGCTTTACAGGGTTCCAAAGCAAAATGGGAAATGGTAGCTCAAGTTGTTTGTGTGTGCCACAGTTTTAAAGAGTTAAAAGTGGATTTAAAGGAAGTGCTGTATGGTTTTAAAGTATAAAGGAGTAGATGCTTTCTCTGGGTTCAAACCCAGTTACTGTGCACTTGTTTTGGTTGACAACAGCAAAGGACTGGGAAGCATACCTGACCGAGACACACTGGGCCACAGACACCCACAGTTTATTATCCCTGACACTTCCAAAAGGACTGTGCAGTTTATCGGCAGCTCATATTTCTGCCGGCTTAATCAATAGTCTGTTAGAAAGTGCTGGGTTATGATAGAGAGGAAAATGAAGAGGGCGCGTTCAGAGAGCGGCGTTGCTTCAGAGCGTTCGTATATTATTACATTTAATCCCAGCTGAGGTCAAACAAAGACACATATAGGCAGCTACTGTTCATAGAGCCCTAACTGGGATATTCATCGCACTCTTTATTTTTCCCTTTTGTTGCAGGAGTATTACATCACCACCCTCCCCACCCCACCCCCAAACCAATTTCCATTCTTATCAAGCTTTTTGTGTGTGTGTGTGTGTGTGTGTATGTGAGTGTGATAGCAAAGTCCACACAAATTGACCTGTTAGACAATGCTCACAATCTGCTCTTAGGCAAATTATAACACTGCTTCTGAGTCGAGGGGTAGGAGTATGAGTAGGATGCTCGATTCTCGTTGTCTGTTATCAGTGTGGGGCATTTGAACAGACACTAATCCATCAGTGAAGGGAGTAAAGCCAGAAAGAGGTTTTAATTGCGTGCCCCCCCCACACACACACACACACACACCACCGCTTCCCATTGACAGCTTGGTTTCTTCCAGGAGTCAGCTCGGTGCCCTGTACTCCTACTACACTAACTCTGCAGATGCCTTCTCTGGGCCCTAAAGGAAAACATTTGCTCTTGAAGTCCCAGCTCGCCTCCTGCCCTGCACTCGCATCCTCGGAGGTGTATGTATTTGGCTTTTTACAGACGCTTAGTACAATGAATTATATGCTCGTTCGGGCTCGCCCGGGACTCACCGATGTGATGTTAAGTGGCGTAATTAAGATATTTCGCAGTGTCTCTTGGGGAGGGAAATGTCAGTGGCTCAGGGTTTGGAAGATTTATGCCCCTGCACTTAAGTGTCTCTCACTGCACACACACTGAGCCTGGGCTTACGCATGTTGGAGGTTTGCTTACATCCTGCTTGCTTACATTTGTGCACTTGCTCACAAGCATGCGAGGGTCACACACGTTTGTCTTGCGCTCATCCTCAAGCCATGAATGAATTGTCTTTACAGCAGCTGTTAACGTCAGAATTTTTTTTTTCTTTCCCCCCCAAAGGTTTCTCACCATGTCGCACATCGCTCTTAACAAAATGCAAGACCAGTCATAAACTCCTCTTAAAGGCATGCAAAGCTGTTCACAAATGAAATAGCCCGTGTCTCTCTTTGACTAATAAACTGGGGGGGGGTGCTGGCGTACATATAAAGAGAGCCAGTGTATATATGAAAATGGAATCGGCCCCTCGAGGCAGCTGCATACGAGAAATCAATTTAAGGAACGGCTAGAGTCAGCAGGGCTCTGGATTGTACAAAGGGCAATCTCGGTGTTATGGATATGCTATTTATTTGCCTGCAAGTTTTTTTTGTTTTTGTTTTTTTTTATTCCTTGTGCCCTTTAGCACTCAATCTGTGTGAGCCCCAGCATCGAATTTGTACGTGGCGTGTAAGACAGGAGGAGAGTGTTATAACACCGGGATACGTGATAAACAAAGAACTGCCAAGCATCTGTGCTGCAGGGGTTTTGTCAGCTTGCTGGGAATGAAATGACAGAAATAAAGGAAAGGAAATGATCAGACACTTTTAGATATGACGCTGCCACACATATATATATTTTTTTACTTCCTACATGTGCAACTTACTTTTTTTCTTTTTCCAAACTGAAAGACTGAAGAACTATTAAATTATTAAAGCGTGTGTTACCTTGCCTGCGATGAGCAGCTCCAGGATACACATGTATGTGCGTTGTAAATAACCCCACTATCTATACAAAAACCACAGTGCCACAGAACAAAATGCTTTATGGATCAGGGCGTCCATGGACCAGGCTGCCTGCTCAAAGTGGAAGTTTTTTCTTTTTTCTTGCAAGAATGTCAGTGAAATGGCTGCAAAACAAGCTAAAATGAAAAGAAAACTATTACAAAGAGGCTATTACTGATGGACAAAGATCCTCAAAACGACAAAGCAATGGCAAATGACCACAAAGATCACAAAGAGAATTTAGAAAAACGACCCGAGCACCACAATCAGACAGAAAGTGAGCACAAAGAGAATCAAATTGCCTTTAAATACCTTTTTTGCTTTCAGTTTGGAACCAGTTCTCTCTGTGCCTTTTGAGAAGGAGGTTAGAGAATATGTAGTGAAATTGGTGGGGTGGGGGCATCACAGCCGAGAGTACAATATAGATGATTGCAGCTACTTTTTTGGGGATGAGCTCCTATCTTTCAGTGTAAATGTGCAGGACTGGTTCTTGATTAGGTGCTACTGGTGTAAGTGAAGTTTGGGTATTGTGTCGATCTAATATCGATACCAGCGTTAATATCGATACTATAGATATTTGGATCGATCCACCAAACTCTAATTTCTACTACAAGAGTCAAAAGTACCTAAAAAAGAGATCACCCCCCCCAAAAAAAAAAAAAAGAAAAAAAAAGGAAAAGAGAAAAACATTAACAATAACAATCGGCTGAAACCTCATCTGTGGTCGGAAGTGTAAAGTTTCAGAATCCTTCTTTGAGTGTAAAATCCTTATTGAAAGGTTAATGATCACCTGCAGACTCGTGAATGGAATGAACTCTCTTGCTTTTAGGTAGTTTGGAGTGTTGTTTGTTTGCAAGCCATATTCAGCCTCCAACTCCGTAAACACGATTAGCGTTTGGGGTTAAGATAGCTGTACGCTCATGCTTATAAGGAGGCCGATTGTCTTGTAGTGACACATTTTGGGCTTTTAAGTAACTTAAGTTATATCAGCTGAGGGGATAAATGGCATTCCAGCAATGCGCTCAACTATGTGAACATTTGGCATATTTTGAAAAACCTCAAGTCATTTGAAATCCATGAAGCAAAAACAGCAGCATGTTCAATAATGCCCTCTGCCAACCTCAGTCTCTTTTCAGTCAAATTACCCATTATTATCATGGAAGTGACTAATGTTCTTCTCGGGGAGTCTTTCCCAAGCAGAAGCCAAGAAAATGCACTAAGCAGTCGGGGTCTTCTTGCAGGAGGAGCTTGGCATTGCTCATTAAATCCTATATTCTGAATCCCAGAAAGGGAAAATTAGGCAGGATGGAGTGAGCAACAGGAAGATTTATATGAGGGGTGGGGTGGGGTGAGTGGGTGTAGGAAGGCAGGAAGAGATTATGTTTAAAAATTCATTCAATTCAAGTGAATCTGATTGCATCTAGTTAAATTGCATTGCCAGAGATTGAATCAAACTCTATGGAGTCTCACTGTGCCAAAATTAATAAAATGTAATTGAATCCTGTCGAGATGGAATCAAATT